GAGGGGGTTGACTCTATATTGTTCAGCTAGTGGTTTGGTTCATCATTTTTGAGTCATTTTACCCAGTTTGAGGCACTTTCCCCTCAATGTTGCTCCTCTCTTACTTCTCACTTAAGTAACATGCTTCCCCCAAAAGTCTTTGCTGACTTCCCCAGCCCTGGCTGTGGGGGATTTTGCAGCCTGGAGGGCATTGCTTTTGTGCAGAATTGCGAACGTCTGAGCCTCTGTGTGTGGCCTGCCTCAGCTGAAACTTTCCAAAACACTTTTCTTCTGTTCTTGTCCCTCTCTAGGTCTTCTGGGGTTGTTATTGTTAGTTTTTAAGTCCCTCCCAAGCTATTCTGCTCTGCAGAAGCACTACCATGCTGTTCCCACCTTCTTTTCAAATCTGGCTTCCCCACAAATCACAGCCCTCTTGTGCTCTGAGCAGGGAGGCACTTGATACACCACCTTTATTTTCCAAAATCCATCTCTGGGCCTTTGCAAAACCCTCTAGAAGAGCTCTGAGTAGTTTACTGCAACTGTGCTTATACTGGAAAGGACACAGTTTGTGACCTCCTTTTAAGATCCTACTTCCTCACAGTCGTAATAACATCAGTGAACAAACAGCGATCACGTTCTGCTCCTGCTCAGCTTAAGGACCTGCTGAACCAACTGCAAGGGTAGAGAAAGAATTATTTTGCTGGTATAAACTTTACCAGTTCCTACAACAGCAGAGACTGTTTTTGCAAAATACCTGTGCCAGCATAAATGGAGCTACACCAGGATCTGCATCAACAAAAACCCGAGCTACGCTGAAGTTACCTCGTTAGGAGCTAGGCACCCTCCTTTCAGGGAGTTGGAGAGAGCAAGAAGGTCTCCCCTCAGCCTCCTCTTCTCCAGGCTGAACACCCCCAGCTCCCTCAGCCTCTCCTCACAAGACTTGTGCTCCAAGGGCTGGAGTGAAAATAGGGCTGGCCCAAAAGGCAAGGCTGGGGCAGGGAGGGAATTTTGCAGAAGATTCCTTTTATTGTCACTGTCTGGTGTGACAATGCCCTCTGTTTGCACAACGAGCACCACAAGGGTTGTGCTCACGGCGCGGTGAAAGCCGTTATTCCTGCGACAGAGACAGCACGGGCCGGGCTGACGGAGCTGGGTGTGATCTTCCTCCAGGAAAAGGTCCTCAACAGCCAGAAAAAAGCACTTGAGACTCAATCCAGGTCTGTGCAGGCGAGGGACGGGGACGGGGCAGTGTCCATGGGGCAGCTGGTGATGCTGAGAGAAGGAGGGAGAAGATGAGGTTTGCAGAGCCAGGAGCTGGTGAGGGGAGGTTGATAAAACGCTGCTGCAGCAGCAGGGACAGTCCAGCCCTATGCCCTGTCCTTCGGATGGAGCAAACGGAGGGTCTTTCCCTTGGAATTAGCCACCCAACATGGAGAAAAGCCTCTGTGCTTCCCAGAGTTGGCCTTTCGGGCATCTGAGGAGGCATTCTTGGTAAAATAAGAACATCAAACCCCGTGGCAGCAAACATGACACAAACGTTTGTGCCGGTGTGAGCCCCAGCCCGGCCGTAGGAGCTGTTTTCATGTGGTTCAGTGGGGCTTGTCTGGTGTCTCGTTTCTTTGCTGTAGGCTCCTTGAGCAACATCTCCCCATCATCTCCACAGAAACTGGTAACACTTTTGTATGAAAGGGTTTTTTCCTCTTTAACACGGAGGCAGCCTTCAGTATCCCACACATAGGAAGGCTTCCCAAAAGCTTTGGAGAAAGGGAAAAGAGGCTTCTTGCTCTTAAGTTTCTGCACTGGAGGCTGCAGCCTTGAGATAGAAGCTCCACCAAGGTCTTGCTGAACATACATCATCCCCGTGTCCTTCCCCTGCCTGAAAAACAAGCCGCGTGGACGCGTGTCCAGGGAGACAAATCACTTTTCCTGCAACGGAAAAAGTCCAGGGAATCTTTTATGGCATCGAAACGTGGCAGCTCACGGTGTGTTTATGCTCGAGCAGCTCTAATCCAGCGCTTGTTTGAAAACACTTCCAGGCAATTGGAGGAAGAGACAAAACACAGGAGAGAGACTTGGATGGAAGGGTTGGTGGCAGGGCAGGGAGGAGCGGGAGGAAGGCTTCCCTTCCTGGTGGGACAGCTGTTGGAAGGAGCATCCAGCCACACAAAGCTTCCAGGAAAAGGGAAATAGAATCATAGAATCATAGAATCATTGAGGTTGGAAGAGACCCTTGGGATCATCGAGTCCAACCATCTCCCCTACTCTACAAAGTCCTCCCCTACACCATGTCCCTCAGCACTGCATCTAAACGGCCCTTAAACACAGCCAGGGATGGGGACTCCACCCCCTCCCTGGGCAGCCTGTTCCAATGCCCGACCACTCTTTCGGTGAAAAATTCCTTCCTAATGTTCAATCTAAACCTCCCCTGTTGGAGCTTGAAGCCGTTCCCTCTCGTTCTGTCACTAATTACCTGTGAGAAGAGACCAGCACCAACCTCTCTACAGTGTCCTTTCAAGTAGTTGTAGAGGGTGATGAGGTCTCCCCTCAGCCTCCTCTTCCTCAAACTAAACAGCCCCAGCTCCTTCAACCGCTCTTCATATGATTTGTCTTCTAGGCCCTTCACTAGTTTCGTTGCCTCCTCTGCACTCGCTCCAGCACCTCCAGATCTCTCTTGGATCGAGGTGCCCAAAACTGGACACAATACTCGAGGTGTGGCCTCACCAGTGCTGAGTACAGGGGCATAATCACAAATACAAAGTGAGGAGGGAGCAGGACAAAGGAAACCATCATGAAATACAACGGAGAAGGTCAAGAGCGTCTCATCTTTGGGGAACAAGCCCCAGGAGCCAGGCAGTTTTGTTCAGGTACCACTCTTGTGGGATCACAGAGGCAGCAACAAATGAATTCAGGTTCACGGGGGCCGTTTTACCTGCAGCTGGGGTGAGAGCCCGGTGTGTCCCTGCCGAAGCCTCTGCCCGGGGCAGGGCTGGCTGCTTTGTTCTCCCTGGGAAGTGTCATTCCCAAGATTAATTAATAAACAGTCACCGGAGTTTGACCCAACGTGAACAGCCATTGCAAGGACATCACACCATCTCGGGGAATCTCTTGCTCATGAAGTCAGGTTCAAAGAAATTCACAGGTTACACTGCTCTCATGCACTGAAAAGGAATCTTTTTCCCCCAAAACATCCTTTACAAATATACCACTTTTTTTTGGAGAGGGGGTTGACTCTGTATTGTTCGGCTAGTGGGTTGGTTCATCAGTTTTGAGTCATTTTACCGGCTTTGAGGCACTTTCCCCTCAATCTTGCTCCTCTCTTACTTCTCATTTAAGTAACATGCTTCCCCCAAAAGTCTTTGCTGACTTCCCCAGCCCTGGCTGTGGGGGATTTTGCAGCCTGGAGGGCATTGCTTTTGTGCAGAATTGCGAACGTCTGAGCCTCTGTGTGTGGCCTGCCTCAGCTGAAACTTTCCAAAACACTTTTCTTCTGTTCTTGTCCCTCTCTAGGTCTTCTGGGGTTGTTATTGTTAGTTTTTAAGTCCCTCCCAAGCTATTCTGCTCTGCAGAAGCACTACCATGCTGTTCCCACCTTCTTTTCAAATCTGGCTTCCCCACAAATCACAGCCCTCTTGTGCTCTGAGCAGGGAGGCACTTGATACACCACCTTTATTTTCCAAAATCCATCTCTGGGCCTTTGCAAAACCCTCTAGAAGAGCTCTGAGTAGTTTACTGCAACTGTGCTTACACTGGAAAGGACACAGTTTGTGACCTTTTAAGATCCTATTTCCTCACAGTTGTAATAACATCAGTGAACAAACAGTGATCACGTTCTGCTCCTGCTCAGCTTAAGGACCTGCTGGACCAACTGCAGGGGTAGAGAAAGAATTATTTTGCTGGTATAAACTTTACCAGTTCCTGCAACAGCAGAGACTGGTTTTGCAAAATACCTGTGCCAGCATAAAGGGAGCTATACCAGGATCTGCATCAGCAAAAACCCGAGCTACGCTGAAGTTACCTCGTTAAGAGCTAGGCTGAAGTTCCCTCGTTAGGAGCTAGGCTGAATGAAGTTCCCTCATTAGGTAAGCTGGAGAAAGGTACTGCACACTTTAACATCCTTCTTTGTGCCAGTGAGGTAAGAGCTGGGAAGCAAAAGCTGGGGGACTGCCTGGCACGCTGAGCTGGGGCTGAAGGAGAAAAGATGTATTTTTTGGTGAAAACACAGTAATTAGATAGCAAAGCAGCCTCCTATTCCTCTCCTGTTTCCCCGAATCCCATGAATAGCTCTTCTCTGGAGCTTAACCAGTCAATCTACCAGAAATGCCAAAGTTAAAATGCATTGGGGTTTGTCTTGTACCTGAACTCTTCATATTGCAAGAGGCTTTAGAACCACAGTCATAAAACTCTGGTTTCTTATTACCTGCTCACTGCTGCTTTCAGGAGTTACACTGATTTGAAAGGTCGTTTACTCAAAAAGTGTTTTTACTATTGGTGAGCAACGCTCGTGCGCCCACCCATCACCGTGCTCCAGCTGCTTGTCTGGAGAGAAGACTGCTAGGTTTGACTTTACAGTGCTTTTAAAACAAGGTGTGTTTTTCTCTTTTATGTGGTTAAAGGGCAGGTGAAACGCAATATCGCCGCACTAAAGAACAAACTCCACACGTTCTCCCCCCTCCTGTACCTTCAAAAGGCAAGACAGATTTACCCAAGTGACAAAGCAGCCCACGGACACGGCCTCGAGTCCCTCACACAGACACCAACCCAGACTTCTCGAGGTGACTTGCTGCTCAGTGCTCCTCCCCAGAACCAAACCCGAGTGCCAGGAGTGACATAAGCACCCACGGAGGTGAGAAGAAAAACACTGTGCCTTCACCCATTTGTTAATTGCCAAATCATAATGCCTGCTCAACACTAACAAAAGGCATCAAATAAGTCGCCGGGTTATTCAGCCTCTAAACCAATTATTATTTATGGGATGGGACTGCGTTAGGATTGCGGAAATTCAAGTTCAAACAGAGACGAGGAAGACAGGGAAAGCTTTATTAGATTCCAGCTTCACCAGGTGTCAGCTGGGTTACAGGACAGCAGAACTGGTGGCAAAGGTAAGTTACCAGCATGCACGACTGGGTGAGAAAAGGCAAGGCTGTATTCAAAGCAGGTACTTGGCTTCGGGTCAGGGCATGCACACCAAAACGCAAGCGATCAAAAAGGGGCAAAGTGGCCGGTTCCAAAGTGTGCAGGGTCTGGTTTCCATGCATTTGGCTGAAGCTGAGAATTTGACCAGAGAGAGAAAATGAATTCCATGTGAGTAGCATCACTCTGAGAGGTAATGTTGCCATCAGTGCTCCGCGACCGGAGGCAACAACATGCAGACTTGCTTTGAATACAGCCTCGGTGGGAGTCGAGTCAGGAAAGAGCCCGTGACATGCCCCGTGCCTGGGAGAGGGGTCACGCTGTGGCTGGGCCAGCTGCCCTCACCCAGGTGAAGAAGGGGTGGAAGGAAACGGTGTCCTTGCAATCCATAGGTCTCTAAGGCTCGTGTCCCACAGGGGGAAACCTGCTCTGCGTGTACAATCAGTAAAACCAGTGTCAGTCTCCTTTCCCTGCTCGCTACGAGCCTTTTGTTTCCCCGTGTCTCCTGGTCCAGACTCTGGGCTGGACAGAGCAGCAGCTCTGAGCCCCGAGAGAAGGAGCTCTGAAAGAAAAGATGAGAAAGAACCTGGCGTTTAGGCTAGTGCATGGTTAAAGTACTAGTCAAACCCATCTTACCCATTTGTTCGATTTATTTAACTTCAAAGAGGTGCACACTAAAGCATTAAGATTTACTGGTTTTGGATTCCTCTCTGTACAAGGTCTTTCAACCGGCTTGAATACACAAGGCTTTACAGATAGAAGCGCTGAAATACAAGATAAAACAAATCTAAATCCCAAATCACTCCAAGAAGAAAAATTGTAGAAAATAAAAAAAAACCAAAACAAACAAAACCAACAACCAAAAAACTGCAGCACTCCTGAGGGAAGGGACAGACTGCACAAGGAGGAACACAAAGGGATGGAAGGCAAGCTAGTGTAGTCTCTCCCAACGCTTCTCTGTGCTGGCGGCTCAGGGGATGGAGTTCAAAAGGTCCTTGAGGAAGCTGTCGGGATCGCTGATTTCTGATAACAGTCCTTTAAACAAAAGAAGACAATAGGGAATAATTAGATTCACAAAGCGGTTTGTCCTGCCCACATCAGGGATTTGTGCAAGGGCTCGTGTGAGTTAATGACAGCTGTGATGTTATTTTAAGTATGGAGGAGAGGAAGATAAACCCTCGCTGGATGCACGTGCAGAAGGGCCAGAAGTGTGTATGTTAAATCCATACGGCGCTTGCTCTTGTGCAACAAGGCTACTACAGGGACCCTGCTGGCTGGCAGCTCCGTAGCTCGGACAGAGGCCTGGGGCACAACTAACTTGTGAGAGAAGTAAGAGTAGCTTGTCTGCACGTTCATTTTCAGCATCTCCTGACTCCTGGGGATACCAAAATCCCTACAGCAGGAACTCTCGCTGCACAGAACTGCTGCCCCTAGTACATGGTCATAGAATTACAGAATGGTTTGGGTTGGAAGGGACCTTAAAGATCATCAAGTTCCAACCCCCCTGCCCTGGGCAGGGACACCTCCCACCAGAGCAGGTTGCTCCAAGCCCCCTCCAACCTGCCCTTGAGCCCCTCCAGGGATGGGGCAGCCACAGCTTCTCGGGGCAACCTGGGCCAGGCTCTCACCCCCCTCACACCAAACAAGTTCTTCCCCACATCTCATCTCAATCTCCCCTCTTTCAGTGTCAAACCCTTCCCCCTCCTCCTAGGGCTCCCCTCCTTGACCAAGAGGCCCTCCCCATCTCTCCTGGAGCCCCTTGAGGGACTGGAAGGGGCTCTGAGGTCTCCCCGGAGCCTTCTCTTCTCCAGGCTGAACCCCCCAACTCTCTCAGCCTGTCCTCAGGGCAGAGGGGCTCCAGCCCTCCCAGCATCTTTGTAGCCCTCCTCTGGACTCATTCCAACATCTGTTTATGAGCCTTCAAAGCACATACACCCAAACCCACCCTAAAGCCCCGATGCAAGCCTATGTTTAACAGGGAATGACCCGCAGGATGAGGTGAGAGAAAATTTTCCCATCTGGGGATGCTCAAGTGTCTCCCAACTGTTTCTGAAACAGCTCAGGCAGTAGCTGGAGTGCCCAGGTCTCCTCCTGTCTCTGCCTCGCACAAACAAGCTGGTGCGGCAGCGTGAGGAATGCTGCTGTCACGGGTTGCATAAGGCAGCCTATAAAAGGGAAAGCGCAGACTCACCAGCCACATCCAAAAACTCGGAAAATGTTTCGACTGGCATGAACTCCTCCTGGAAGGTTTTCAGGGCCTTGTCTGCAGCTTCGTGTATTGGCATGTCATTGTGTCGTATGAATTCAGCAAGAGAGTAGGACCAGCCTCCCTCTGTGTTACTGGTAGGCACCTTCTGCAAGAGGGGAAAATGGGACCAAATCAGTCCAAAAAATAACTATTTAGAAGAATAACTGCAAACCGCGCATGAACTCCTCCTGGAAGGTTTTCAGGGCCTTGTCTGCAGCTTCGTGTATTGGCATGTCATTGTGTCGTATGAATTCAGCAAGAGAGTAGGACCAGCCTCCCTCTGTGTTACTGGTAGGCACCTTCTGCAAGAGGGGAAAATGGGACCAAATCAGTCCAAAAAATAGCTGGTTAGAAGAATAACTGCAAACCCCAATGCCTTCTCCCGTTGCTCTCGGACTTGCAGCCTCTGCCTCTTGTAAACAAGCCACATCGAAAGAGTTACCAAATATGTGACATTATAATCTTTTTGTACAGAATGCAAACAAGGTCACGGGCATTTTCTCACCCTAATTATTTAACCCTCTCTGGAAGCTGCAAGTTTCTTGCTGTTGGATGCCCCTGCCTTCCTTCCTTCCTTCCTTCCCCAGCTGCTTCCCAGGTGCAGCTCTCCATGTCCTCGCTTCAGTGAACCACAAACAGAAGAAATAAGCAACTACACAATCCAGGAGGAGAGCAGCAAAACGGCAAAGCCAATGCTCTAGACACTACACCACAAGGCACACCATAAGCACAGGCAGCCTCTTGTGGCCTTTGTGCTCATACAAAGTGAAGCTTTACGTCTACAAGAATCTTGGAAAAAGGGGTTTCAAGCTCTGCCTTCTCACAGAATGATACAGGGTTGGAAGGGACCTCTGGGGACCATCCAGTCCAACCCCTGGCCAAAGTAGGTCCACCCAGAGCAGGTCCCACAGGAACGTGTCCAGGGGGGGTTGGAATGTCTTCAGAGAAGGAGACTCCACCACCTCCTTGGGCAGCCTCTGCCAGGGCTCTGCCACCCTCACAGCAAAGAACTTCCTCCTCATGGTGAGATGGAACTTCCCATGTTCAAGTTTGTGCCCGTTCCCTCTTGTCCTGTCCCTGGGCACCACTGGAAAAAGCCTGGCCCCATCCTCCTGACACCCACCCTTGAAGGATTTAGAGGCGTTGATCAGATCCCCCCTCAGCCTTCTCTTCTCCAGACTGAACAGACCCAAGTCCCTCAGCCTTTCCTCAGCACAGAGATGCTCTAGGCCCCTCAGCATCTTTGTAGCCTCTGCTGTCCCCTCTCCAGCAGTTCCCTGTCCTTCTGGAACTGGGGAGCCCAGAACTGGTCCCAGTGCTCCAGCTGGGGCCTCCCCAGGGCAGAGCAGAGGGGCAGGATGACCTCCCTCCACCTGCTGCTCACACTCTTCCTCATGCCCCCCAGGATGCCCTTGGCCTTCTTGGCCACCAGGGCCCATTGCTGGCTCCTGGGCATCCTGTTGGCCACCAGGACTTCCAGGTCTTTCTCCTCAGAGCTGCTCTCCAGCAGGTCCCTCCCAACCTGTGCTGGTTTGGGGGGGTTATTCCTCCCCAGGTGCAGCACCCTGCACTTGCCCTTGTTGAATTTCATCAGGCTCCTCTCTGCCCAACCCTCCATTTCAAAAGCAGGGAGTTGCTCAGGTTAGAGAACTTGTGTGTTTTTTCTTACCTTGAACATGTTGTAAATGAGATCTACTAGGGCCCAGAAGAGAAGGCCGGAGCGGTACGTTGCGTATTCCTTCACTGTCTTATCCGCCAGTCTAGGAAGATAATGAAATCAATCTTGGAGTTAATCACTTTACTACGCTTTGGTATCCCATATGATGAATAGAGCGAAAGCTGAAACGGCCCCAAAGCCCATCAATAACACGCAATAACACGCATGGGGAATGGCTCTGGGTAAGCTTTCCTGTGTGCTCTTGGACACGAAACAAACACTGGGCATCCACAGCTTCTGCACATTGATTCCTACAGGAAATTCCTTTACCAGCTGTGCCCAGTGTAACAGTTAGCCAAAAAAACCTTACTTCACAGGAAGAAAACAAGCTCGGAGGGAAGCGGATTGCTAAGACTCTGGAGGAAGAAAACAGGAAGGTTGGAAAAAATAAAGCACAGCCCCCATTTGTCTGGTCACTGCTTGGGGTACAGCTGGCTCCTGAAGAAATAACTAGATCTAGGTTTCAGCCACAGTCTGGATCAATGACAGAGAACACATTTTTGCTTCTAACTCACAAAAGCATTTTCAAAAGACTCTGAGGGAAATATCTTGCCCTTGAAGAAATGGAGGAATTTCCATTTTCTCTCTTCTCGGTTATTCTATCGCCACGAAAGGGCTTCTTTTGGTAATTCAGCATCTGGTTGAAGAAATGCTATAAAAGGTGGAGAGCTGTCCTGGGATAACAGCTCCCAAAGTTTATGGGATTAATCACCAACAGGTTCTGGCAAGGCGGAACCTCCTGCCAGCAACTCTAATGGGTTTGGAATTTTCTTGCATGTGTTTCTCAGGTACATCTGCCTCCCTCACATGCTGCTTCCTGCTCACCACTTAAAAGCTTTGGAGAGAAAAAAAACAACAAACCCCTTTTTTTAATGCATCTAGGACCAGCTCAGCTGCCACTGAGGCAAGTCAGCAAGACAAAAGAAAAGGGTATCGTCTGACCACGGCCCCAACTCCAACCTACCATCAGTTGGGGTTTTTTGGGGGAAAGTGAATGTTTTGCTGCTCTTATTTTAAAAGGCTACATTTGTGTGTCTGCCCTTAAAACGGACAGCTTGGTAGGTGGCAGCCTGCTTGGGCTGCTAGGCTTAATTATTTAAAGGAAAACCAATTAGTAAAGGTGACTAAATTTCCACGGGAAGAACAAGCAACTTAGAGCGAGGCTAATTCTAGACTCCCAAATACTGCAAGCCAGAGTTTCTTTTTGTGTGAATGGTTTTGATCTAATTGGAGTCTGCTCCTTTAATTGAAAACTAAAAGGCCCTTGTGGGTTAAGTGTGGTAGCCACCTCCTGGAACAGCTACTTCATCTAATAGCTGCTGCCTTTTCATTAACGTAAGCTGGTTGAGGCTCATCGGCTACGCATGGATCGCCAGCGGAAAGTTAGACATGAACACTTTGGGAGCTTCACTTCTCTCATGAATATTTTAGAAAGGTCACAGTCAGGAGCAAAGAAAAAAAAAAAAAACAAAAAAAACCAACCAAAAATCAAAAGGATGTTTTCCTCCCAAACTCCAGATGAAAGCTGTACTGCAAAGCGTCGATAGGATTTTTCTCTTAACCAGAATTCTTGGTTTATGTAACGAGCAGGTAATCAGGCACTTGATTCAATCCTTTGGAATTTGTAAACTATATATAAAAGAAGAAACCTGCAACACTCCTATCTATCCTGGTAATTTAATCTTTGGATTTAAATGCAAAGTGGTTCTAAAACCCAGAAGGTGCTGAGTATCCCACACTTTGGTCCTGCAGACAGACTGCGATAGCTGTAGCTCCTGGCAGAGCCAGAAGACATTTTGGGCTAAATCCTCCTCAAATCTGCCTTACGCTGACTAATCCAGCTGAGCGGCTGGATAAAACACCTAACCACGGGACAGGGCACAGGCTGCATTTGTTGCCTTCACTTAAGTACCAGGGAATGCAGAGTATTGCCTGTGTCTTCATTAATAAGATTTACAGACTCTTTTTAGGACCAGGAGCTGATCCTCAGCTGCTTTTAGATGTGCTGTTGGTTCCTACAGCCACTTCTCTCCATCTCCCCCAGGAAAGGGAGCAGTGAGTCCTGGTGTGTCTCTAACCTTCAGCCCACACCACCCCGGTGTGCTCTGAGCGGTGGAGCTCCCAGATAACACCCTGGCACTGCATCACACGTGGAATGCTAATTTTAATCTTTTGTATGCAGACATATTACTCTGATGTTACAGACACTGGCTTCCTCTTTGCCTACAAATTCAGGATATTGGCACTTATCTGCAGAGCGTTTCACCATCCATCGCCCTCTTCCTGATTTTCCACAAGAATAAATAAGCACAGAGCTTGGAAATAAGAATTGCCATATTTCTATTTCTGAGAGGTATTATCAGCAGAAGGCTTTGTGCTCTCTTAGTTTGCAGGGATTAAAGAAAGCCCTTGAATAAACCTTGACATAATTCCCGAGGACTATTTCTGAGTGTCTTCCCCTGAAATTCCACAGATTGGATGGTTTAGCTCCAAGTTTCTTGCTATGTCCGTTTCAATATACTTTGATTACATACATGCTCAGAGATCAGCTGGGAAAGAAACAGAATTATTTACTGAGGGTTTTAAAAAACACCAAACATCCACAGCAAACCCACAGAGGGTCTTGGCTTTCCCGGTCTCTTTCACAGGTCACACGAAAAAGCTGCACATCCTTGTGTCCCAGAGAACAGTCCTCCTGGATAATATCTCCTGTAACTCTTAACCTCCCCCTTTCCCAGAACTCGGGCAGGGCAGTGGAAAGAGGAGACAGGATCAGAGAGCAGGGCTGAGCTGGAAGAGCAGAAACCAGCACAGAAATCAATACAGGAGCCCCTTTAAGGGCTCTCTCACTTTTGATGCCTCTAATAGCATTGATGCATGCTGTGTTGTGTGTTCCGACAATGTAATGACTTTATCAAGCACATAATTAATGTCATCGGCATAAGAATGCCCTTTAAGGCGACTTAGAATAATAATGAATTTATTCCTAATTATGACAGCTATTTAAAATCATCTTTTCAGAAACTGGAATTCCCCCTTTCTTCTCTGGAAATATGTGCTTTTGTCAGGCAGGCACAGCCACTTATTCTTGTATTTCAAGTGCTTGACAGCTGCTATTGATTTTTTTTTTTTTCTTTTTTAAAAGCAATGGCACTTGATTTCTATTTCTGTTTTTCTATTTAAGGAAGCTGGTGCACTGATCAAAAGAGCACAGAAACAGCTTCTTTAGGGAGGCAAGAGAGCAGAGAGCACGCTAGCAGCTCGGAAACAGCACGCAACACAAACTACTACAGCGTTTCACTTGAGATGGGGGGGCAATAAGCATCTTGCAGTTCACTCCTAGAAAAAGCATCATTTCTGCTCAGCAGCTAATTGATCCACTCCAAAAAACATCCAGAATTGAATGTTCCTGCTCATACCTCTGCGATGCTGAGTACAAAACTACTGAGAAAGGTTAATAAGAGCTGTTCTAAAATACACATGTTCCTGTCCTTGGATCCCCACAAGCTGCCGTGGGGCTGTGACTGCTGTGAGGGTCACAGAGCGCGGTGGCAGCGGTGGAGGAGGAGCAGAGCTCCTGGCTAACCTGCTGGCTCCCCCTGGTGACACCACTCGCGCGTGAGAGGTGATGAGGAGCCTCTTGAGGATCTCCACTCGCATGGCTTTCCACTTCTCCGGGGGCGAGATGTGCAGCGCCAGCACGGTGTAATAATGGGGCCCGTCCACCTCGTAGGCACTCTCCACCCACTTCTCCTTGGGGTGCTCCATGAAGCTCTGAAGGTTCTTCTCCTCCCTTGAAGTCGCTCGAGTTCTGAAACACAAGAAAAGCTTCAGCAGCTGTTCTGGCTCTTCAATGTGAATCTGCTGTATCTCAGGAGCTTTGAGGTGCCACACTCAGGAAGTCCCATATAGGAAAAAGCACTGCTAGCTTTGCATTACCAGTTTTTTCCCAAATTCATCCACTGGTTGAGTATTTGCTCCCAGTGAAGCATACCAGCCTAGCAAATTCACTTCTGTGGATCACAGAATGGTTTGGGTTGGAAGGGACCTTAAAGATCATCAAGTTCCAACCCCCCTGCCCTGGGCAGGGACACCTCCCACCAGAACAGGTTGC